GGGACCTTCTGTACATCACCGCTGCGCATTAGAGGCTTTCAGTGTCTCTTATCCCCATCAGGGTCATGGGAAGTCTATGGAAGTATAATAATAATAATACATTATAATGTGTGCAAGGCTCAGATCTCTCTCCATGGCTCTCTTCCAGCCTCCCACTCCGACTCTTGACTTCTGTTCAACTTGAAAGTCTTCGTTATATTTCTTCCTTCCAGGAAAGCACAGGCTTCATATGTCTATACAAGAGAATGGAGAAAAATGTTGCATTCTTGAGAATTTCAAACATGTACTGAGCTGGAACATACCGTACTTCAGATACATGAGATTCCTGGCCAGCAAAGTGATTACAGCACTCAGTAATGTTGGTACTCTCTGGGCATTGCTCCTTGTTCACAAATGTGGGAAGTTTAACTACTTCCTTACCTGGCCAATTCTGATATTTCTCTCCTACATGTAAAAATTATAGTTTTTTGCTAGAAAGTGACTTAGAATTCCCAAATATTAAACCTTATATATTTTTAGCAGAGGCCCTAGAGAAAAAAAATGGTGGGTTCTGCAAATTTTTTTATGTCACACGGCATTTGCTCGGCGGTTTTTTCAAACATAATTTTTTGGGGGAAATATGCAATTGAATGGATTGTAGCACACACAAGCACAATATAATACACAATTGTTTGGTAAAATACAAAAGATGATGCTACACCCAGTAAACAGATACCTAACATGTCACGCTTTAAAATTGAAATGGCACCAAACTACAGTACCTAAAAATCTTCATAGGTGAAGCCCTTAACCAGTTTAGAGTTACACAGGAGGTCTGGTGCTAGAATTATTGCTCTCACTATAATGATTATGGCCAGAAGTGAAACCAGAACCTTCAGGACCCAGGTGCAAGAAACCATGAATGGCCTGGCGCCTGGATGGGCCTCTTCCCAGTGATCCTGGGGCCTTTTACTCCCATTGCGAACCCCGTTTATTACGATTCCACAGTAGGCCCATGAAGGGCCTGGTGCCTGGATGGGCCTCTTCCCACTGATCCTGGGGCCCTTTACTCCCATTGCAAAACCCCCTTTATTATGATTCCACAGTATGCCTTTGAATGGCCTGGCACCTGGATGAGCTTCTTCCCACTGATCCTGGGGCCCTTTACTCCCATTGCGAACCCCCTTTATTTCAATTCCACAGCAGGCTCATGAATGGCCTGGCACCTGGATGAGCCTCTTCCCACTGATCCCGGGGCCTTTTACTCCCATTGCGAACCCCCTTTATTACGATTCCACAGCAGGCCCATGAATGGCCTGGTGCCTGGATGGGCCTCTTCCCACTGATCCCGGGGCCTTTTACTCCCATTGCGAACCCCCTTTATTACGATTCCACAGCAGGCCCATGAATGGCCTGGTGTCTGGATGGGCCTCTTCCCACTGATCCCGGGGCCTTTTACTCTCATTGCGAACCCCCTTTATTATGATTCCAGAGCAGGCCCCCTTTCTGCCATCTTGGGGGCCCCCCATGGTGGCGGAGCACCAGGGCCGGTCACAAGTGCAACCTTTGCAACCCCGGTAGTTCCCCCACTGGTGTCGGTAGTTTTTTAATTTTGTTATTTTATTTATTTTATTATTTTTCTACCATTTTTTTTTATTTATTTTGTGTTTTTTTTTTACAATTTTATTTTTTATTATTTTTGAAAACATTTTCAGGACCCCCTCAGTCTCCATCAGTGATTGGCCCTGATCCATTAAGACAAGGAATAGGCTGGTAAATGACACATTCATCTGCCCCTTCCCCACTCTCCATCCTGACAGTATCCCCCGCAGCAGCCGGCTGAAGGTGAGAGGTGGAAACCTGACAGCGTGGTGGGGGAACCAGGGGAGCACACGGGGGCCCGGGGCAGCAGCACAGGGATGGGGAGGCAGCGGGACAGCATGTAGAGAAACCGATGCTCTCCATTTCCCTCCTGCAGCCGCTGAATGTCTGCGGGGGGAGAGGAGGAGAAGTGGGAATTCAGAAGAAGTTGAAACAGGAAGGTGCTTCTAAGTGCAGTATTCCAAGGTCAACTTTTAATAAAAGCGGTTAAAAACACTTACAATGTGGTATTACAAACAGGCTCTAATGTAATCCGCCAGTAGCACGGCTCTGTCCTCTAAGCGATGGAGAGCTGTGCCAGCCAGCAGCTGCAGGGGGAGCTTGAGAAGAGGTGTTAAGGTGGCCGCAGCTCTATCCGGACCGCTGGAGCGCACGCTGGACCGCACGCTGTCCACGGACCGGAAGTGACGTGAGCATGGAGCGGTGACGCGTTTCTGGACCATGCGCAGAGCTCCTTCTTTAAGACCGATGTCCTGGCTAAAAGAGAACCATTTAAATAGGGTAAAGGGGCGGGAAAGGGGCTGTCAATGGGAAGGAAGATACACGCCTCCCGAAGACCAAGCTGGATATGAACACGGAGCTGACTGTATGGTGTAAAACAATAGGAAACTGGGGAAGATGGAAAAGTAAGAGGTAAAAAAAAAAAACATAAATAAAACAAAAAAGAGGCAAAAACAGGACTATATTTGTAAGGGCTGAGTGGGGGTGTGTCACATTGTAATGGACCCAATCTCCCACGACTGGGTATCTCCATCAAGAAGCTGATTCTCAGGCTCTGGAACACGAGACCAGTGAATCTGGCTATTGCTACCCCAAAGATCCAGACGACACCAGATTTGAAGTAAGCCAGAAGGTAGACTAGTTTATTTTAACACAGATACAAGATATATACACTCAGGGGAAAATCCCCCCTCCCTGCATAATGACACAGGGCGGGGCAATCTACATTTAGTAACAAGAGACACACCAACAGACAGTCCCATCAGGAGGGAGGGCTGCTGGAGACACCCCCCACCAAGCCAATACACATAAACACATACATCCCATAATAGTTTGCTCCCAAGCCAGACACACAATAGAACAATGGGATGCAACCACATAACATCAATCAACAAACCCCCACCCCAATATTAGGACAGATCACCCTGTACCCCTAACAGGCACAGGGTGACTTACACATAAGAGGGATATGAGGAACCGAGACAGGGGTCTCCCCACCCCTCCAAAGTAGGCTGGGTTCCATGGGCCCCCCACCCAAAGTGACTCCCGTCACAAACATACTAAAGAGTTATTAAAAAATGGGGTGTGAACATTATATAAGAAGATATATAAAAATAATAATATATGAAGTGGGGGAATTCAGCAGCTGCATGGAGGGATTGGTTCTTCTGCATGCTGCTGCCTTTGGTCAATCTTTAGGGACTATAGGAAGCCCAAAAGCATTAACACCTAGGGCACAGAGAGATAATAGGGTGGCAGAGTAGGCGCCAGGTAAAATGCCAGAAAAGGGAAATAAATGGCATATGATCTTTACAAAAAGAGCCCCATTCACAGTGTAACATAGGTCACATGGACCCACTCCCGATAGGACCGTGATCTTAGCCGCCCAGATGCATCCCAAACACATGTATACTATATGGTTTACAAAGTGATTAGAAAGGTAGGCTGTGGAGAAGTTCTTATATCTCAACGCGTTTCACTGAATGCTTCTTCAGTAGAAGGGAGCTGTCGGGAATGGACTGGCCAGCAATAGTGGGACTCACCTGCCTTATGAGCTGCAGTACCAGGGCTGGCCAGCGGGTGCTCCCAGCAATCAGAGACTCAACCTTGCAGCCAGTCAAACACCTGGAACTAATTATACTGGTGTATTTAAGGGATGGCCAGACCTGCAGACTCTGCCTTGGTGTGTGTTTTCCTGGGCCCTGTATCTTGTAAACCTGCGTTCCTGTTCCTGTCTTGTTGCTGACCCTGCTTGATTCTGACCTCTGCTGACTTCTCCTGTTCTGATCCCTGGCTTGTGACCCTGACCATCCCTCTGCCTGACCCTCTGTACCACGCTGCCCGCTACCTGCTGAACCTGGCCTGTGACCCCGACCATTCTCCGCTTGCTCCCCCTGTACCTACCTGCCCGATTGATATTGACCCGGCCTGCCTGACGACGCTTGCATTGTATGTACTGTTATCTGTGGGTGGTTGGTTGGTTTGTTTGCACTGTGTTATGTTTTAGTATTGCACTGCGTTTATGTTTGTATTGTTAGTGTTAATAAATTATATTGTTTATCAACATATCTGAAGCCTGCGTTTCCCTGCGTCAGTCACACACCTCTGGTCATACCCGGAAGCCCTGACATTACACCAAGGCCAATCCTGACCAGAAGTGGCTGCACAGGGAAGCCATCTTGGCTTGTTGATGGGAAGGATGGATCTGGATGAGGTTGTGTATTTATATCTGCTAGTGTTTGATGACAGGGAGTATGCTTATCAAACTCTGAAGGAGTATACCCCGGATCAACTGCTAGAATGTATACGGATCGCTCATGTTCTAGTAGATCAGGGCACAGAGTTCTCTGAGGTGCAGCCATTGATTCAGATTTGTGCGGAGTTGGTTTCATCTGGTTCCCCCCGAATGCAGGGATGAATTTTTGCCGCCATTTAGTGCCGACCAGGTAGAGTCCCTGGTGTGGTTTTAGAGGATGATGTGGGTTACTTTCTGGAGCGTTATTCCACATGTTCACCACAGACACTAAGAGATTGTATAAACGCAGTGCAGTCATTGGTCAGACAGGCTTTGTGTAAGCTCAGCTTTGTTCAACCCATACTGCAGACATGGACAGACTTGTTGCACCCAGCCTCAGTCAGCTTACAAAGACCCAGTCCTGCTTCTAATCTATTTCCTCAAAACTCTATTCCTGCATTCCCAACAGCTCCTCCTGCCCTGCTATCTACCGCATGTCAGTACCCTGTTCCCACTCGCTGCACCTATCCTGCCTTTAACCCTGTAAAGAAGCCCTCTGTAGCAACTGCTCCCTCTCCTGTTCCATCCTCCAGCTCTTCTCTGTCTCCAGCTGCTCCATTCGTTTGCAGACCTGCGTTTACTTGCAGTGCTCCAGTAGTTAAAACCAGAAAAAAAGCGAAAATTCTTTCCAACCAATACCATCCTGCCAGTATCCAAACCGGTGAGCCTGCCGTCTGAGAACCGGCCTTCCGTGGTTCAGCCTGAAGCCTCTACTCAGCCTGAAGCCTCTACTCAGCCTGAAGCCTCTACTCAGCCTGATGCCTCTACTCAGCCTGATGCCTCTACTCAGCCTGATGCCTCTACTCAGCCTGATGCCTCTACTCAGCCTGATGCCTCTACTCAGCCTGATGCCTCTACTCAGCCTGATGCCTCTACCCAGCATAATGAACTGATCCAGCCTGATGATCCTATTAGGCCAGTTGACTCGATGCCCGCTGTTGATCCAGATGATCCGGTACCTGATCCGGTGCCCGCTGTCGTGCCAGATGACGCGGTGCCCGCTGGCGAGCCAAATGACCTGATGCCTGGTGACCCAGTGCCCGCTGTCATACCTGGTGACCCGATGCCCGCTGTCGAGCCAGACGATCCAATGCAAGACGACTCGGTGCCCGCAGTCTTGCCAGGTGACTCGGTGCCCGCAGTCTTGCCAGACGACTCGGTGCCCGCAGTCTTGCCAGACGACTCGGTGCCCGCAGTCTTGCCAGACGACTCGGTGCCCGCAGTCTTGCCAGACGACTCGGTGCCCGCAGTCTTGCCAGACGACTCGGTGCCCGCAGTCTTGCCAGACGACTCGGTGCCCGCAGTCTTGCCAGACGACTCGGTGCCCGCAGTCTTGCCAGACGACTCGGTGCCCGCAGTCTTGCCATACGACTCGGTGCCCGCAGTGTTCCGCCAGTTGACTCGGTGCCCGCTGTTCCGCCAAACGACTCGAAGCCCACAGTCTTGCCAGTTGACTCGAAGCCCGCTGTTCCGCCAGTTGACTCGATGCCCGCTGTTCCGCCAGTTGACTCGGTGCCCGCAGTCTTGCCAGACGACTCGGGGGCCCGCATTCTTGCCAGACGACTCGGTGCCCGCAGTCTTGCCAGACGACTCGAAGCCCGCTGTTCCGCCAGTTGACTCGATGCCCGCTGTTCCGCCAGTTGACTCGGTGCCCGCAGTCTTGCCAGACGACTCGGGGGGGCCCGCATTCTTGCCAGACGACTCGGTGCCCGCAGTCTTGCCAGACGACTCGGTGCCCGCAGTTCCGCCAGTTGGCTCGGTGCCCGCAGTCTTGCCAGTTGACTCGGTGCCCGCAGTCTTGCCAGTTGACTCGGTGCCCGCAGTCTTGCCAGTTGACTCGGAGCCCACTGTCATGCCTGGTGACTCGGTGCCCACCACTCCGCTTGGGGGCCTGAGACCTGTCGCTTCCGCCTGGGGGTCCGGCGCCCGCCGCTCCGCCTGGGGGCCCGAGACCTGTCGCTCCGCCTGGGGGGTCTGGCGCCCGCCGCTCCGCCTGGGGCCCGAGACCTGTCGCTCCGCCTGGGGGTCCGGCGCCCGCCGCTCCGCCTGGGGGCCCGAGACCTGTCGCTCCGCCTGGGGGTCCGGCGCCCGCCGCTCCGCCTGGGGGCCCGATGCCTGTCGCCCCGCCTGGGGGCCCGATGCCCGTCGCCCCGCCTGCCTGGGCCCGATGCCTGTCGCCCCGCCTGGGGGCCCGATGCCTGTCGCCCCCGCCTGGGGGCCCGATGCCTGTCGCCCCGCCTGGGGGCCCGATGCCTGTCGCCCCTCCTGGGGGCCCGATGCCTGTCGCCCCCGCCTGGGGGCCCGATGCCTGTCGCCCCTCCTGGGGGCCCGATGCCTGTCGCCCCGCCTGGGGGCCCGATGCCTGTCGCCCCGCCTGGGGCCCGCGCCTGCCGCTCCGCTGGGGGCCCGATGCCTGTCGCCCCCGCCTGGGGGCCCGATGCCTGTCGCCCCGCCTGGGGGCCCGATGCCTGTCGCCCCGCCTGGGGGCCCGGTGCCTGTCGCCCCGCCTGGGGGCCCGGTGCCTGCCGCCCCGCCTGGGGGCCCGATGCCTGTCGCCCCGCCGGGGGCCCGGTGCCTGTCGCCCCGCCTGGGGGCCCGGTGCCTGTCGCCCCGCCTGGGGGCCCGGTGCCTGTCGCCCCGCCCGGTGGCCCGGTGCCTGTCGCCCGCCCCGGTGGCCCGCTGCCTGCTGCTCCGCCCGGTGGCCCGGTGCCTGCTGCTCCGCCCGGTGGCCCGGTGCCTGCTGCTCCGCCCGGTGGCCCGCTGCCTGCTGCTCTCCGCCCGGTGGCCCGCTGCCTGCTGCTCGCCTGGTAATCCGATGTGCCTCTGCCCGGAGTCCAGCCCGATGTGCCTCTGCCCGGAGTCCAGCCCGATGTGCCTCTGCCCGGAGTCCAGCCCGATGTGCCTCTGCCCGGAGTCCAGCCCGATGTGCCTCTGGAGTCCAGCCCGATGTGCCTCTGCCCGGAGTCCAGCCCGATGTGCCTCTGCCCGGAGTCCAGCCCGATGTGCCGCTGCCCGATGTGCCGCTGCCCGGTGTGCCCGCCCGGAGTCCAGCCCGGTGTGCCGCTGCTCGGAGTCCTGCCCGGTGTGCCAGTCTTTGATATCCCGCCAGTTACCAGACCCGGGCGGTGGAACATTTTGCCCAGCTAGGACTGTTTGGAGCGTCCTGAGGCCGCTCCTTGAGGGGGGGGGTACTGTCAGGAATGGACTGGCCAGCAATAGTGGGACTCACCTGCCTTATGAGCTGCAGTACCGGGGCTGGCCAGCGGGTGCTCCCAGCAATCAGAGACTCAACCTTGCAGCCAGTCAAACACCTGGAACTAATTATACTGGTGTATTTAAGGGATGGCCAGACCTGCAGACTCTGCCTTGGTGTGTGTTTTCCTGGGCCCTGTATCTTGTAAACCTGCGTTCCTGTTCCTGTCTTGTTGCTGACCCTGCTTGATTCTGACCTCTGCTGACTTCTCCTGTTCTGATCCCTGGCTTGTGACCCTGACCATCCCTCTGCCTGACCCTCTGTACCACGCTGCCCCGCTACCTGCTGAACCTGGCCTGTGACCCCGACCATTCTCCGCTTGCTCCCCCTGTACCTACCTGCCCGATTGATATTGACCCGGCCTGCCTGACGACGCTTGCATTGTATGTACTGTTATCTGTGGGTGGGTTGGTTTTTGTTTGCACTGTGTTATGTTTTAGTATTGCACTGCGTTTATGTTTGTATTGTTAGTGTTACTAAATTATATTGTTTATAACATATCTGAAGTCTGCGTTTCCCTGCGTCAGTCACATACCTCTGGTCACACCCGGGAGCCCTGACAGGAGCTCAACAAAAAAAAATAAAATTACCAAAGTAGTCAATCTGTAGGGACCACAAGGAGCCCAATAACATTAGGGTGGCAGGGTAGGCGGCAGGTCCAATGCTAGAAAAGGGAAAGGAGTTTATAAGGAAGCCAATCGTTGAACAGGATGTTCAATGGCTTAGTAAGGAACTGTCAGGGCAGGGGCCGAGGAACGGACAGGCAGGCCTAATATCAATGTAACGCACTGGCTGACGACAACCACCACCCACAGACCGAAGTCCCTCAGGGCGCGGAGTCTAAGTCCCAGGCTGCCCTTCACCAGGGCCCCTGATGGTGGGGATGGACTTGACGCAGCCAGGAACCAGGTCGCGGCCCCCGAGGCACCCCAGCTGCGATAATGGCCGCCGCCAATGGCGTGTAGCTAGTGGTAAAGACAATAGAGTAGTCAGACAGACCGGGTCAACAACAACGAGACAAAAACAGTACAGAACAGTAGACAGAGAATCACAGGTCACGAGCCGGGTTCAGCAACGGAGGGTCAGATCAAAGGAGAACACAAAGAATGGTCAGGTAACAAGCCGAGTCAGATTCCGGGAGAGTCACAAGAGTCAGAACAGAGTAACAGCAACACAAAGACACAAGTGCAAAGAGCATGTGCGGAACACAGGCTTATATGTCATCAGCCACACCCCTCTGGGGGATGGACCTCAGAGACCTGAAGGCATAAAAGATTCCCACCATGATCTGCAGAAATCCAAGATGGATGCCAGCACACGGAGTAACATAATCTCTGGTAAAAAGGTAGGACCTTGACAGGAACCATTTGGCTTTTGCTGACTGAAACATGGGCTCTTTACATTTCTAAGCCACTGAACATCTGATGGGGACACCTAATGCAAGGAGTCACTGTGTTGGGGACACTTGTTGCAAAGGGAAACTTGAGAACGCCCTGTGGGCGGGGCGAAACGATAGACGCACTTCCGGTCTGCCGTCCATATGTCCTGCATCACTTCCAGTGAGTGGAACGCACACTGAGCAGTGCATTCCAAGCGGCCATCTTTGTTGCTGGATCTGTGTTCTGTTATCCTCTGCAAACCAACAGGCTGTGAGGTCTCTGGATTGGAGTGTGGAAATGTGGATCCTGTGTTAGCCAATGGAGGCAATAAATCAATGCTTTTACTCATCTTTGAACATGTGAGTGGCCTGGTATTATTTTTAATATTGCACATGTTAGTAGCAATATCACACTACGGTATTTTTTTCTCTTGCACCGATGTGGAGTTCATATTAGGAGTGATTGGAAGGGGAACACCAAGCCTTACAAGGCGGATAAGGAGCCCTGGATGATATAGAGGGGGTGTAGGATCCCTAAAATTCTAAAAGGCGCAAAACTCACCAATATCTGGTGAGTGCGGTTGATTTTGATTTGACACTGGTGGATGGTGGAAGTACATTTCTTTGGGAGAAGATAATTATATATAACATTTTTTGGGAAGAAGAATTTTTTTTCTTTTTTCTTTTTTTGGACACATTTAATATCTTTTTGGACACTTTATAAATTATAAATTTATTTATTATATATTTTTTAACAATATTTATATTGATTGATATATTGTTTTTGTTGATTGATGTTATGTATTTGGTGAGGAGGGTTTTTGATTTGCGCTGTTTATATATTATCTCTACTAAAGGGGCACTTTGATGGGGACACCAGATTAAGGGGCAATGTGATGGGGAAACCTAAAGTAGGAGGGCACTGTGATGGAGACACCTGATGCAAGGAGCACTGGGATGCGGACACCTGATGCAAGGGTCACTGGGATGGGGACACCTGATGCAAGGGTCACTGGGATGCGGACACCTAATGCAAGAGGGCACTGGGATGGGGACACTTTATGAAAGAGGGCGCAGTGATGGGGACACCCGATTAAGGGGGCACTGTGATGGGGACACATGATGCAAGAGGGCACAGCGATGATGGGACACCTGATTAAGGGGGCACTGTGATGGAGACACCTGATGCAAGGAGCGCTAGAATGGGGACACCTGATGCAAGGGGCACTGGGATGGGGACACCTGATGCAATGGGCACTGGGATGGGGACACCTGATGCAATGGGCACTGGGATGGGGACACCTGATGCAATGGGCACAGCGATGGGACACCTGATTAAGGGGGCACTGTGATGGAGACACCTGATGCAAGGAGCACTAGAATGGGGACACCTGATGCAAGGGGCACTGGGATGGGGACACCTGATGCAAGGGGCACTGGGATGGGGACACCTAATGCAAGGGGCACTGGGATGGGGACACCTGATGCAAGGGGCACTGGGATGGGGACACCTGATGCAAGAGAGCACTGGGATGGGGACACCTGATGCAAGAGTGCACTGGGGTGGGGACACCTTATGCAAGAGGGTACAGTGATGGGGGCATCCGATCAAGGGGGCACTATAATGGGGACACTCAGTCTGTCTGCGGATAACATCCCGCACAAGGCTCGGTTCCTCCCAGCAGGCTCTTGTCACTCCCAAAATTGACAGCAGCTAATATCC